GACGAACCGACCTCTGGTATGGATCCCGAAGCGCGTCGACACCTGTGGGATGTCCTCCAGAATATCAGATCCGAGAGAACCATACTTTTGACGACTCATTACATGGAAGAGGCGGATGTGAGCCATCGTTCACTACACTATATCTCTAATCCATGTCCTGTCCTGTCCTATGACCTACTAATCCCTTTCCATAATCCCTTTCCCAGGCATTGGGCGATCGGATCGCTATAATGAGTGAAGGAGTCGTGAAATGTTGCGGAACTCCGATGTTTCTGAAGAGGACTTTCGGCGCCGGATATCACCTGAGAATTCCTTTCTATAATCCCTTTCCCAGGCATTGGGCGATCGGATCGCTATAATGAGTGAAGGAGTCGTGAAATGTTGCGGAACTCCGATGTTTCTGAAGAGGACTTTCGGCGCCGGATATCACCTGAGAATCGCTAAAAACCGTGACTTCAATGGACAGACAGTTCTGCATATTATCCGCAATTTTATGCCAAACGCTGACATCAAAAGTGAAATCAATTCAGAAATCATTTATTCACTCGAAGGCGAAGAGCACTCGACCTCTGATATCAGTAATACTAACAAACTTTTGGTCCAATTGTTCACTAATTTGGAGACCAGAAAAGATGAGCTCAATATTGAAACCTATGGACTGACTGTCACTACAATGGAAGACGTCTTCCTAAGGGTTGGCAACGAATCCATCGACACATTTGATGACAAATACTCGAAATCCTCCAATAGTTCGCTACTAAACGAACCAATTTTGGTGCAAAGTATCCGCAAAAATAGTGGTAATAAACTCGGTTTACAACAGTTTAAGGCGTTATTCCTGAAGCGGTTCCACTACGCCAAGAGGTATTGGCCAATGATTGTCTTGCAGACAGTACTTCCGGCCATACTTTTCATGTGTATTCTGCTATTGGATAAATCACTGAAGAGTTCGTTTACACAAACCGATACAAAGGATTTGGATTTGAATTTGAAGATGTATGGCAAGACTCAGGGTTTCATTCAGTCAGACATTAAAGATCTCAAGGATCTCTACATACAAGTGTCCAAAACACAAGACATGTCCACAGAAATTATCACTGGTATGTAGTATAAATCAAATATGAGTTAATGAATTGCAATAAAATTAAACATAAATTAATAATAATTTTATAAATTTTAATAAATGATAGAAAATCCTAATAATTGGACTCTTGAGGGTAATAAAGGGGATGACATTACTAAATACATCAACACATATCTGGTCGGCGCTCAGATTAATACCACAACCAGTGGTGAACTGATTCTCATTCCCTGGTATAACAAAGAGGCCGTACATTCACTCCCGGTGTCCATCAACTTCTTATATCAGACACTACTCGATAAATACTTCAACGATAAGCCATCAATCGTAGTACATAACCACCCAATCCTTTACGATCAAAGTAATAATGCCATACAGTCGGTCGTGATGTCCACAATGGTCATATGTCTACTACTGGTTCCTCTAACCGTCCCCTTCATCGGTGCCTCCTATGTGTTGTTCCCAATTCACGAACGCGTGACTAATTCAAAACTATTGCAACTAATGAATGGCATATCTATTCACACCTTCTGGGCGGCCAGTTATCTGTTTGATATGATTAACCATTTAATAGCAAGCATTTTACTCATTTGCATATTCGCTATCTTCGACTTCAATAAAGTTTTTATGGGAAACGGTATGTTATCTCAATTTATAATTCATTAATACAAACAAGTATTACTGTTGTTACAAAACTACCTGACAATTTAAACTAATTTCATACAAGTTCATATAAGTTATAATAATTATTACAAACACTAAATACAATATACTCATGAAATGGTTATAAACATATCAACCATTTCCTATTCATATGACTTTAATTTTCTAAACAAAATCAATGACTTTATGAGTAAATATCGTATATTTCTAGCGACGAGTGGTTTCGGTCTATTCATCCTATTCTTCGTGTTTGGTTTATCTGCCATTCCTTTGGCGTATTTATTCTCATTGCGACTGAAGCTGCCGTCCACTGGTTTCGCCATTTTGGTGGTCATATACCTGTTGACAGGAGTGGCCCTATCGTTGATCGTGTTTTTCGTGGGCGCCATCAAACCCAAAGCGCTGGAAGTGACGTCCGGCATCGCAAACATACTGCCCGTGTATGCCATGGGTCACGGCATAGAGAAGCTGTACAAACTGGGCTCATTCCAGACCGCGTGCAAACAGATGTCTCCCGAGCACCTGGAGAGACGGTGTCAGGACATTGAGTCCAAAGGATCGCAGAGTGAATACTACGGTTGCTGTGAGCGTGTGTGTCGACCCAAACACCAGTGTTACGACGACTTCAATGCTTTCCAATGGGATATAAATTACGGTATGGCATCTAATTGTCCAGTATCAATTATCAATGCAATTACTGATTCATTGTTTTCTTGCTAATAGGGATAAGCATTGAGCTGACATATCTCATAGTTACCGGTGCTGTATATGTGTTTATACTGTGGCTTATTGAAGGCAATTGGGAACGACTGACATACATGTTTAGCACACAAAAAGTACAGACATCTAATACTACGTCGATCTATATTGGAACCAATGTTCAGCAGAATGTTGCCATAAATATGGCCACAGGAGTAGCACTCAACCCATGGATGAGATCCATATCAGTGCAGGAGATGGAGGACTCGGATGTGACCGCAGAGAAGAATAGGATCGAAGGGTTAGTCAACACTGATAGCGTTAACAGCGAAGCACTGGTAGTCAGGAATTTGACGAAAACTTTCGGAAAAGTAATACCCATTCAAGCGGTGAATGGACTGAGTTTTGGTGTCCATCCGGAGGAGTGCTTTGGTTTGTTGGGAGTGAACGGCGCCGGAAAGACAACCACTTTTC